CATTAGATCTTATTATTAAACCAATAGTAAAAATCTAAATTGTTTTTTAAGCATTTTTGTCACTCTGATTCAATAGCTAACATTGTACTTTGGCACTCAGTGCAAATGACAAGCAACTTGCTATGTTTGGTATTTTCTCAATGTGTTTATGAAAGTCAGCCATTTTGAATTAAAATAAACTTAAATTATTTTTATTCACATTGATTATTATATCTATATTATAAATAATAAATGTGGTCACATTATAGTTATTTTTAAAATAAAAAAAACTAAATAAATATTTGTAAAATTTAAAAAAAACGTAATAAATACTGTGGGGTGTTTGGACACCCCACTGAGAACTGTTGTTTTTCTCTTACTGGAATTTCTGCAGCATCGTAGTAATTTCTGAGCATGCTCTATACATAAAATCATGAAGCTACTGAAGAGGATACAAATATTTTTTGCGAAATCTATGAATAGTGCAACTTTTAAAACGTTGGGGGTGGCGAAACACCCCACTGCACTAACCCAGGGTTAAAAATAGAAGAAAGAGAACCAACTTACCAACGAAAAAAAAAGCGCCGTAGAAAAAAACTCACGCTCCCAAGCAGAAAAAAGTAAGTCTGCACCAAGAAAAAGGGGGGGAGACCCCACAAGCACAACTTAGGAACTTGCTAAACCTTAAAGAATAAAACATCCTGAAAAATTGTAAAAAAGAATAATGTAAAAGGTTAGTGAGAATTGTTGGGAAATAGGCTGCCAGGCAGAAAGGAAAAGTTTACTGTTAGTGATAAGTATGTAAATGAGGAGAGTGATCTCAATCAGAATTGTGACATCACCTCATAGTATAAAGTCCGAACCTCAAGTGAAGATGAACTTCGTAGCAGCAAACGACAAGAGGTGTCCAATAGCGATAAAGTGGTTCCAAGGCGATTTGAAGTTATTTGATTTGTGGATCGAAGGTTAGAAAGTCTTGAGAGTTGAGGAAAAATGTTTCTAGTATATTGAGGTGATGATTAGGACCTTAGTTCATAAGAATTGTTGTACATAAGTTAAGTCTGAGTTTTTTTATCGGGTTGATTCTTATTGATTTTCTTTGAATAAATTTGTTGTTTGATTGTTATTAATTTTTGTACATAGTCATTATTTCTTTTGGTGCATGCTTAAAATCCAGGCCTGGCACATTAACACGAATGCACGTAAAGTACCCGTTAGGTAACGGCTATTTCCAGCACAAAGCCATGTCGCTAATCATTGTAAAAGGCGTAAAAATAACTTAGTACTTTACACTGAGATCCTGCACAATGTTCTGTATGGCCCTCCTGGATTCATCAATTCCATATTCTCGTAACAGTCATTGGATCATGGCCAACATAAGCAGCAATAGTGTAGAACAATAAACCACAGTTCCCCTAGGCTACGTTTCTACCATGATCAAACTGACATGTACTGGTAGGCATTCCTCCTCCTCATGAGGCATAAAACCTTTACACAAGCAACCAATGTGCAAATGCACTTTTCATATGAGAAACCAGTTTTACAATCTTCCCTTTTATACTGACTGTAGATGGCCTTACTCCTACCTGTTTTGTGAGTATGCATTGAAATCTTAATCATTTGCATATACACCAGCATGTTATACCTTTCGTGTCAACTTCACTGTGTAGCAATCTTAATGGCCTGCAGTGTATAAACAGTAAAATTTGTATAAACAACAGTCATACAGTAAAGAGTTGTTCAAAATGGAAAAAATAAGTTATTATTTTTTTAATCTTTAAACTACAATGGATGAATGCCACACAGTTATGTTCATTTTTTTTATAGTAAAATGACTTTTACATTTATAAAAAAATTTTATGATTAGGCTTAATTCAAATTAATCCAAAATGATTCCAACTAAAGGTAGGAATATTTGATGAAAGAATTGGGAACTATTCAACTGTAAAAAATTATCATTGCTCTAATAAACTTATGCTAGGTATTTGAATATTTCTCAGATGCAATCCATGATAACCAAATGATTAGATTATGATTAGAACCTATAAATATGCAACTTTTGATCTACAGTATGTAATTACTATTGTGTCCATGTTTTTGAAAAATACATTACGATATCATAGAAAACTTTTACTATTATTGTATAATGTATGTCACTCAACAGTGAACTACACACATGACAAAGATCTCATAAGTACATAATGGAACTAAAAAAATTCATGGTTTCTGCTATCATTTCTATAATGACACTGAATGTATATCCTCCCAGTCATTAAGTAGCACATTGGTATATATACAAAGTTTTCATAAGAATCTTTTATAAATACAGGCAGTTTCCAATATTCAAATATAATGCATTTCTAAAATGAGTACAAAAGTGAAATGTATGGAAGTTGAACATGAGTCACTTCATAAAAGGAATTTCATTTCCAAAGCTAAAAAAATTAAAATATCTTGTTAAGATAGGAAAATTTTACTTTTTTATAGTAAATGTCACAATGCATGAAATACTATTTAAAATCATAGATTAAACAGAAAGTAATGTTTTAGACACTAGAATTAATTTTCAGAAATGTTTTTGATGTTATTGAAACTAAAACTGCAGAAAAAACAATTGCATATAATTTGAAATTTGTGTGTTTCAGTTGAAAATAAACAAAAGTCCAAAGTTGTTATATGAGAAATACTGATTTAGACAACTGTTTTTCATACATAATACTTTGATATTTCTAAAAGTTGAGGACTGCCTATACTAATTACAAGAGCTCCCCTACTTACAAACTTTCAGACATATGAACAATTTACTGTACTTCTAAAACTTACATTTCATGTGAATTCTAAAGTTCTCTTGCTGGTTGTGTGATGGTGTCGAAGTCAGTGTTTAGCCAGTAATAAATAATAAATTTTTAACAAATAATTAATGTGGATTTATTTCTATTGCATATCACCAATTTTCATTTTTGTGGGAATTCTCATGTTCCATCACCACTTGCGAGGTGTTGTTGAAATCGATAGCATTGGAATAAGTGTTTTTAGCTAGTCTTTGCAATTTTTATCAACTTTTACAATTAGTGTTCCAAAAATGCAAGAAGTATGGCTCCATTATCATGGAAATTAAACTTTGCATTATAAAACTAATTACATCAGGAAAAAAAATACCTGCTACTAAACACTGAGGAGCCTGTAAACAAGCATAATGTATTCTATTAAGTACAGTACATTAAAGGATTAAATGCTAACAATAAGTGCTTATTCTGTGTACAAACGTATTTTCTAGGTTAGTTTTTGACTATGGCAAAACCTCAGGAACCTAACCTCTTCATAAGTAGGGGAGTGCCTCTATAAGAATACAACAAACAATTTCAATAAAGTTAAGGAACACAAAATTCAACAATTCAATCAATGGGTGCTGATAAAGACGACAATAAACAAAATTAATGTGACTGACAGATGAGTCAAAGTATTTAATGAAATTTGCAATAAGTTCTTGAATACCAAGATTTTAACAATTTGATAAAATCAGTCCTTTATTTATCAATAACAACAACTTCTGTAGAAACAATATTTTCACTCAGAAATTCTTGTGGTCAAATGGGAAAACAATGCTAATTATAAAGCAAAGCTGTGGCTTACAATGCAATAAGTTTTATGATAAAATTTTACATTACCAGAACAAAACAAGTTCACCTGAAAATTTTATTCTAGGAAACCTTCTACATCAATCTGAATATTAAATTTGATATACATAGTGTAATAAAAAACACCACTAATTCATTATTAGATTTCCAAAAATAAAATCTTTTAGAGAAATTTACTTATTCGTATGTATGCCATGAAATCACTATCAGTAATAAGCATTATTAACAAGTTGTTAGTACATTATCTGTATTTATTGACAATATTTTAGTAAGAGAAGGTCTATATTTATTAGCTGTAGCACCTCTGTCCATTTTGGCATCAAGAAATTATGGTCTGGCTGTGTGTATCAAATTTACAAATTATATCAGCATTTATTGAAAATATATTTAAAAAATTCTTTTTACCAATGGAATATAAATATTGTTCTTTATATTATATTACTACATTTTACTTTTTTTTTTATAAGTTTTCTCTACTCAGACCTTTCATAAGTTAAGTAACAATTACATTATAAAAATGAAACTCTTCATAAAAAATTTCAGCTAGTTTATATTAAAAAATGAAGAAAATATTCAAAAAGCAAATGTTAAATGAAAGAAAAAATAAACAAAAAAAAAGTAATTCATTTAAAATTATTTGATACTAAACAAACCTGCAAATTTTCAATCATCATAATATGTAATAAAAATAAACTTATGTATCTTTATACTAAATAACATACTAAAAAAATCAGTTCTTTTCAATACTTTATATTTAATAAACATTAGCTCAAAAGTAAATAGAATCAACTTCTTTTATTTGTAAATTTACAAATTAAATTTTATTATACATCATAGTAGTAATATTTTTATCATCAATAAACTTATGTATTGTACCTCTGTTGTACCTTTTATAACTTAATGAAACCTATTTATCAATTATTAAATAATTTTCCCAATTTATAAGCAATATTCTTATAAATTTATTCTGTAACTTTAAAATATCAGACTAATAAAACTTTTTATAAACACAATGTACATACAAACATCTAATTGCAAAAATTAGATCTCATGCAAAAAACAAATTTGAAAACATATATTAAACAAATATATCCAATAAAAGAAAACACAAATATGTTAGAAAATAGTTTATCAAGCAATACGAGAACAATTAGCTGCAAAACTTAAAGATATAATGCAAAACCAGAATTAGTCAGAATAGTACAGATCTAAAGGTTAAACAATATTTTATAGAAAAACAAATAACTTTTTCAACTTTCAAAAAAAGCAAAATATTTAATTCAAGACAAGATGTTATAAGAAGGCAAAGCATATTAATCCTTTTAACAAATTCAATGTCAGTTTGAAGTTAATACATATGATATGAAGTGGAAGAGAGAATACCTTCTTGATGCTGGCCTCCCGTATTTTCTCCAGGGCTATTTTTATCTTTTCTGCCTTGATGTGTGCTGCCTGTTCAGCCTAAGATACAGAAGAAAGGAAAGATTGGACAAAAACAGCATAAGGCGAAAAGAAAACCTTAACAAGAATGTATATAAACATTATTAGAATGTAATATATCACAACTTTGACAATATTTATTTATTTTGTACTTGATGCTTTCGACATTTCCAGTCTAATTACTGTTTTTTAGATTTAAAAAAGTCAATACTTTGAGTCAAAATCTAAAAACGTTTTATTTTTATTTTTTTACAATTTGAACATATTTAATAAAACTATACTTGATAAGTAAATCAGGAATTTTTTAATATTATAAAAAATGATTATAATAATCATTTTCTTCTTAAGTCAATAGATATAACAATTTACAGGATAATTAAAATGTATGCGCACACAATACTGTATATTGTACTGTACATAATAATTAATAAAGTTTAATTTAATATTATAAAATATTTCTGGTATTATTTTTTAATAATTTAAAAATGCACTAGTAAATATTTATTTGTCATCAAACAATCATAAACATTAGTAAGTTAAGGAATCCTATCATTTTTATTTCAGATAAAACATTTTTCAAGACCAAATATCAGCATTATATCTCCATTGTTATTCTAATTCAAACATATATTACCAGCATTCTCTAAGAATGCTGGTAATATATGTTTGAATTAGAACAGTATTGGAGATTTGAAACAAACTGCTTTAATCTGATATAAAAACAGTAAGACTCTCCTTAACTTATCAGCATTTATGATTGTTTAATTCTAATATAGAGTCAGAAGATGAATCTAGAACTTCAATTTGTGCATATTCTGTGTGACAAGTAATAATTTATGTACATAAAAATCTTTGCAGTTGAAATGTATCAATAAAGTCAAATTAAATAATTTTGAATAATTAAATAACACACAATACCAAATTCTCTTCTGAGTATTAAATCTGAATGCATACTATGTTTTAATATAAAATTAAATGCATTATTAATAATTTCTCTAATTACCTGAGTTGGTGAAGAAGCTAAGGACATTCTGCTACTTTGGGAAGACATACTTTGACTAGAGGTATCTGTCCTAGCCACTCCACCTGATGAAGCTGAAGACTCTGATGACAGCATTGACACATTGTCTGAGAAAGCAGAATCATTATCAGGACTATCAGTCCTCAGTCCAAACTCTTTCTGACTTCTCATGTGATCATCTCCATCAAGATCCATGTGTAAGCCACCAATTTCAAATTTTGGTCTGGTTCCACCAGAACTCGAACGATTATGACTAATATATCGTTGTCCAGGAGTAGAGCCTTGATGGCCATTTACAATTCCACTTAATGACTGATTTGGCAGAGGTGGACCTAAGGAGAGTCTGGGACCCTTTCCACTACTACTGTGAGAAACCATACCTAATATTTGATTTGTTCCTTTGTGCGAAACTTCACGATCAAACTGTGTTTCTAAAGCACATAATTCTCCAAGAATTGCATCCAATTCAACATCTTGACTGTCTGTAAAATATTTGAAAAAATTTACATGTATAATAATAATGTAAATTTTTAATAATGATGATGATTATTACTAATTTACTTTAATAGCAGTAGATTCTGTTTGCAAAATATTAATTTTGCAAACAGAATCTACTGCTATTAAATTTGTTATTTCAATACTGGTTAACTTTTTTTAATAAATGAAGCTTAGCTTTAAGAGATTGTTAACAATCATTCGTTATCATTGATCACTCTCAGACTGCTGGCAGATTAGAAATGGACAGAGATCATGCCTAACAGTTCTATTAATATCATTTTGAAGAAAAATACATTGTTTTACAGGCAAAACCATTGTTCCAAAATGAAAAAAGAACAGCTTTCAGTTGATTCAGAATAAGAAAGGTACGAATGAAGACGACAGATAATACAATACGAGGTACAGTACATTGGGTTTATATAATGCCTACTGAAAAATAGATATGGTTGTGTAAACTACAGTGCAAAAAAATGAATTTGTTCTGGAAGGTGTGGGATTACAAAATAAACAATGTACATGAAATAAATTATAAAAACATTTTTAGGAATTTTTTTTTTTTGTCTTTTACTTAATTTTGTTAAACTGACTCCTTAATATGGTCTGTTGCCTTTTGAACTTTTGTTTTCAAGTTTCAAATGTTCTGAAAGTCCTTGATCATAAATTGGGTAGAATTGTTCTGAATTCTTTTACAAAATTCTGTAGTGGAATTGGCCTCCCACCTTCCATCATACACTTTCTCTCTTCAAAACTAATCTCTTCTTGATGCACTCTACACTAAATACTTCCATATTAATGCAAAGCTTAGATGGTGCAATGAAAGCCTGAGATCCAGCAAAAGCTTATGGCTAGCCACACCAAAGCTTTCATCGGGGAGTGTGAGTGACATCTAAACTTCACTTCTGGCATAATGTCCTTTCCTATTTTTTTGTGCCACATCTTTTTTGTTTAGTCATCAGAGTAATCTTATTTGGTTTTACGTGCTTCACAACATACTTAGATAAAGAAATCTTTTTCCTAACAACAAAAAAATTCCTTTCCTTAAATATCCAATGCACATGTATGTGAGATATTTTGAACTTTCAACCCAGCTTTACAAAAAGACTGGTCCACCTTACAAACAGCAGCATTGGTTAGCTGCCTATGCTTCACTTTAATCCTTTTTTCCCCACTTCCTTCAACTTAAGAAAGTGGAAGAGAAGAAAATACTATCTAAAATATATGATATATTATGCTTTTTGGAATGCCCATACATTTAAATGTTATAAAATTTTTACCTGGATAGAAGAAAATATAATACTGTATTACCTTCACATGAACCTTGAAATATCTCCAGCAGTTTTTTCAATAAACTATAATTTTTATTTATTTTATAAACTCCTTACTGAATTTCTCCTCTAGGAGGGGGGGGGTTAATACAGTTGTAATACAGTTGTAATTCTTTCATTGTAAAACTGTTTCAACAGAATCTGTGTTAGAAAACAAACATTGCTACAATCTTCAGTTGGACCAAAAAAAAATTCTTCATGATGAAATCATTATAAATATATAAGAACCCAATACTGAAAAATGCATAACCAGATAAACCGCTTCATTTACTATACTAATCTCATTACTTTTTATGAAAAACCTATCAGTTGTCCTCGCTATCTGAAAATCATAAACCTGGACACTGGGTTTAAGGATTAATTTTTGTAAGACAACAAATATTGTGATAGTAGATCCTTCTTTCTCTGAAAGTAGACTGGTGTTGTTGACAACAATACTGTATTATCTGCAAACTAAGTAGTTGGATGTCAAAATCACCAAAGGTAATGACATCGTCTCTTAAATCATCAAAAGTCTACACCATGTCATTTACATAGCAAAGGCTAAGAGCTGTGGAAGGACCCTTTCTAACTTAAAAACTGTGGTGTCTAAACTAGTAACAATCCTTGCTCTTTTAACCCTACAAATAAACTTTGATAAATTTATCAAAATACAGTGGTACCTCAGGATACAAAATTAATACGTTCCGAAACTGAGATCGTATCATGAAAATGTCGTAAGGTGAATCATTTTTTCCCATACGATTACATATAAAACCAAATAATTCGTTCCAACACAAAAAACACACTCAAATTAAAGCTAAGTAGTACATTAAAAAAATAACTATTGTAAGAAAAACACTGAAAAATGCGTTTTGTAGTTGTAAATGTATAAATAACCATAATAGAATAATAATTGATTAAAAAATGTACGTAGTTTTATTTGCACTTTACCTTTGAGGATAGACGATGGTGGAGGTGTAAACTGGTGGCAAAGGAGAGGGAGAAGGAAAATAATACTAAAATTTAACTTACATAACATAATGCAACAATAACTTAAAAATAACTTAACACTAATTTTTTTTATCTTTTCTGTTTGATACTTTTTTTAAATTTTTTATTCACTGCTTTTTGCTTTCTTTTCTTCACTTCCACCAGCACTTTCACTGGATAGAGGTCGCTCGGTAAAATATCTATCCGAAGAGGTTTGGCTTTGCCTACTTTTTAAAATGTTTCTAAAATTACTTAGGCAAATATCATTACTCCGAGCAGCAATACGGCCAGTGTGAACCTTTTTGGGATGTTTCTTTTCAATAAAATCAGTCACTTTCTGATAATACCGCGAGATTTCCTTTATTGAGCGAGATCCTTCCACGACGAAGCAAACACGCGGACTGAGACCGATGAACAGAAATGAATAAAAATGGCGCTGCGAACTAATGTAACGTCGTATGGTGAGTTTTTGTTCATATCGTGGAGCAAAATTATGTTCAAATTTCATGTCGTATCCTGAAAATTTCGTATGATGGAATCTTCGTATCCCGAGGTACCACTGTAATACAGAGATTTGCATTGCTTTTAATTTAGTGTAATCTTACCAGTTTTATTTACTATTGAACATTTTTTCATAGCAGCCAATAAACATTATTTTTTCCCAGATAACAATCTTGCACTAAATTACTTGTAAACAAATATATTGTATAGCATATGTTTTCCAGGTTGGAATGCAAATTGCTTATCTCAATCTTTTCACCAAAATTGTTGTAAAATTTTCCAGACTATGAGTAACAAGATTGGCCAAAAGTTGGTGGAGTGATCTGTCTTATGAATCACCTTGATCTTAACATCCAACCAAGGCTTTAGGACTATGCCTGTTTCATAAAGTCTTTCAAAATAGGAATTAATGGGTTCCCTGAATAATTAATTAAAGGAGGAATATTATCCATCTCTGGAGCAAAGCATAAACACATACCTTGAATAGCAAGGCTTACCTTTCATGGTAAAATTAATCTAAAAAGGAATCCTCCACAAGCAGGGTTCCAGACAGAAAACATCTAACAAGACTGAAGTCTTAATACTAAATAACTGTTTAAAAAATCATACCGGGCAGCCAAGGAAATGACATAATCGGTCATAATTTTGTCACACAAAACCAGCTGACATGTAGCTAAAAGGTCCTGGAGTATTTGATGTTTGGGAATTTGGTAAAAATTTCTATTTTTTTAGCCTTGATAAATGAGCCATATTCTCCATTTGATTTTAAAAAAGAGAGGAGTTTGGCCTGGCTACCTGATCTTCAAAAAATACAAAGGGCACAATTCCACTATCTCTTAAGTAAGAGAAGATTTGTCAAACCAAGGAGAACAGCAGACATTATTAATTCCAACTCCCTCTCTTAAAATGTCAAGCTCTCTTGCCAAGGAACATAAATCAGCAATTATTACATTATAAAACTCATGTACCGATTCATTAGCAAATTTCCTATTCTGAAAACATGATTTAACAGCATTGGCAAATGCACCTACCTTGGCTTCATTCCATCCAAGAAAATTGGTCTTCCCATTCAAAAGGCATTCAGAACTACCAGACAAATACAAGGTCACAGGGAAGTAATCTGATAAGGACAGACTTTCTACTTTCAAAGTCTCTATGATTGTTTCTCAAAGCATATGTCATTTAATAATCTCCTCTGGTTCATCCATTGAGAAGAATAAGGTCATGTTCAATTAACTACTGTAAAACAGTTTGCCATTAGTGTCAACTGTTAGGTCCTTTGATTGCTTCACATTGAATATAGCATCACCACATATTTACAAAAATCCAGCAGCAAGTTGCTCAACTTTCCCAACAACATTTAAAATTTTGGTAGCACCATCTGTTATCATCTATATATATAAAAATGAGTGAGAGTGTGTGTGTGTCCTTCATGCATTACCACACCACACCATTTATCCGACTGCCATGAAACTTTGGGAAATTGTTTAATATACTCCCGCGAAGGTTTCTGGCATAGTACGACTGCCATGAAGCTTTGGGAAGTTTTTTTAATACACTCCGTTTCTGGCATAGTACATTTATCCTACAATAGATGGCGCGATCCTACGATAGAGTGTATACGAGCATTTCATCGTGAGATCGATGGATTTCAAATTGTGAAGACCATTTTCCCCCCTCCAAAAAATATCTCTATATACGCATTTGTGAATTGTTATTTATGATATTTGTAATAATTTTTGTTTAATCACTTTATTTCAACTATTTTTTGCTAATTACATATTCGTTCGAACTTTGTTAAAACCTTAACTGTATCCCAAACAACAACCGAAGTTGTACGAGGAAATTTGCATATTTTACCAATCTAGGGATCCTCCTTTTCCAAATTTTAATATCAACTCAAAATAATTTAAAAACACAAATTACAATAAAATGGTTTATTATCCAACTATCAGAAATTTCACAACATGCCAAGGAAGAGAGGAAGGAGCAATTAAATAATTAAAATTATAAAGGATTTAAAAATATATATAAAAATGGGGAATATCGCACTTCTGACAATCGCAGC